CCATTTGCCGTGGACAAAAACGGTTGAGGGTAGGTTGCCCATATTCCTGCTGTACCGTTGGGACCCAGTATTTGACGAACACCGCCATCAAATGCGTTGAGTGCATCTGAAAAATGATATAAAAGAATGAGTTTTTTTCTCCAAACCCACCGATTTCTTTTCTCCCTTCTCCTCCAATTTCTAATAACTATGCTTCAATCCTTAAAGTCACTACGCAGCCCGTATGAGCCTGTTGATGTCAGAATGATGCAACATGAAGAGGGGGGGATTTTCGAAGAAAGACTTTTAACACTATCGCCATATTGTGCCATTACATAGCAATAGCAGCTGTAACGTATACTTAGTCGTGCCAAAATTTTGTTATGATTTTTGTCGTTTCAATCAATATTAATAATTATATATTCAAATCAGTATCACACAACAACGCATGCATGGTTCGCCCAAGAGATTCAAATGACAAGGATATGGCGGCCATATTGGTGGTATTAACAATGGATGCCAATGAAAAGTCTTTTATCAAAATCCACCAACATGGCCGCGATGACGAAACATACAAACGACGACGTAACATGCAATAGGTCGAGGTTTACCTGACACGACTGAAAAACGTCTGCGCATGCTCTGAATCCGTATGCAAATTAGTCAAAACATAAGTAAATTTGACTTTCAAACATGCCTGACAAATTTGAATTCACAAAATGCCAAAACTTAGTGTCCATGCTTGAAACTTAAGGCTAACTCTTTCATATTGTGTTTGTTAATACATTATCTTGGTCTGACAAAAGCATACTCTCGAACCTTTTTGTATACTTGGAGMAAAMAAACATTTATTTTCTCACTCAAACTCTTCAAAATTCTTAGAAAACGTGCTGAAATGCACGCATGCGCAAACGTTTTTCTCTARTGTCGGTTTACCTACCATAATATACACCATAAACACAAGCGGAAGCCACAATTGCTCCCACCATTTGTGCGGCCCAGTAGAAGAGGAGCTTCTTCCACGGTAATCTGCCAACCACGGCATTAGCAAGAGAGACAGCTGGATTCATATGTGCACCTGGYAAATATAAAGACGATTTATTTATTAAAACGAACGTCTGCCGTTTGAATAGCGCCGGGAGAAAAGGATATGMGGAAACAGAAACGTGAAGCACCCTAAAACTAAGTCTAATGCGTTTACCACTCCTSGGTGGACGGCWTGATGCCTAACAGGCCTTKCGACCCAATYGATAAGGCARCCGGTTAGCACGGGCACTGAAGATGGTCGTCACCAGCGTCTTCAGTGGATCTYTTACGTCCGCCTTATACAGGGTTATATAGTGAAGACAGACGGGGCCTACGGTTTTAAGTCCCTGTCCGTGTGGTAGAGCTTGTAATGTTTAAGTCATTCAATGCATGTTCTCATTTTTAAATCGATATCACATATGTTGAATAACATGCTAGAGTGCACGCCAATAGAGTGATTTTCTTCAGACCGTAAAGTAGCTCGTAGTCTAATAGAGGTCAGTAGATCCAGAGTTAATAACTCTGGTAGATCTTATTTCGCCATTGTTTACTAGGTTGTCTAATTGACTATCGTGCAACAATACGAGAGACTGTTTCACAAACACATGCGAAAACCATTAATTTTCAAGCGCGCGTGTGTGAAACATAAAAAAACCCTACAATTATTTTCGTAAATACCTGACACACCGCCAGCCCAGTAACATCCCATAGTAACKCCAACACCCCAGCCGAAGTTGATGGAGAARAATGTTCCATTTTGTTGCTTGCTGAGTACGGTTTGCGCGACCGAGCCAACACCAAAAATCTGTAAAATACAAGAAAAGTTAATTATAATATCTAGTTTTATTTACAACCGTGAATTGCTAAATATGCCAATAGCTCTATAGGAGCTTTTAAGTTGACTATGCGAAAAACGACTAATGCGATACTGCGATATAAGATACTCTGGTTATTAGTGTTTTATTACGCGACCCCATTAACAAACGTCCTGTTGACAGGATTAGACCAAATACGCTAGCCCGCAGCAAAAGGACCAAGAACTATAAGAAACCTAATACTTAATGTTTATGCAAACCGTTATAAAATCTTCATCATAAGTGATAAGTATCGTTTGGTTTTCACTAGCGACATAAGCATAAGCATAAACACAGACATAAGGGTATCAAACCCACTCACTTCTCTGTTGACGGTTGACGTCCTCACTGCGACATAAGCACAAGCATAAGCATAAGCACAAGGATCAAAGAAATCCCCTTCTTCTTATGCTTCTGCTTGTGCTTATGTTGCCTTATGTCATAAAGAGGACGTGTTCATATGCTTATGCTTATGCTTATGTCATAGTGAAAACCATAAACTTTTTAAACATAWCACTAGGTCGATAAAAAAACTTGCTCGTGTAGATAAACCTAGAACAAAAAGTAACCTTATACAATGTTTAT